TCAGCACCTGTTAGTAACTGTGAAAGCTTCAGAAGCCACATTGAACAAATCCCAGAGCAACAAAGCATGCCCTTTTGTTCCTCTTTTTACTTTCTTTCCTTCCTGTCTTCTAACAACTTCTCAAAGGTTTTTGACCCTGCTTACTAAATTAGAGATAGTATGCAAGTAACAATTAACTATAGGCAGAAATGTGACCACCTTTACTAGTATAAGTTGGTAGGCCCATGGAATGAACAAAATTTGATTGTAAGTTTCCTGGCCTGTAAGGCAGAGAGAGAATTATGTGGCTTATGTAGTTTTCCTTATCTGACTAGAGAAAGCATTACAGTTCTTCCATTCAAGCGAAATCTCTTGAGATCAAAACTAATGGTGGAATTTATTGGTTACAAAGTGAATATTGACTTTTTGGGTTTTTCAGAGATGAATAGTATTGGGAGGTAAAAGTGATTGTGCAAATCATATTTGTCTTGCTTACTTTTATGTCCTGCACAGTGCCTGGTTCATAGGAGTTGGTTGATATATAATTGTTCAACTAAACTAGACTATTTATTGGACAGTTTTGCACGAACTTGCAGTTGTAATAAAGACACACTATGTATTCCATGCCTTTGAAGTTTGCGCTCTCACTCTGGAGAGTTACCCTTCTGTTCTTCCTCCTTCTCATGCTTTTGGCCTCAGCACTAATTCAGCTCACTTTGTTTTATAACTGTTACAATGATCTACTCCCAATCTTTGTTGGAGAATTTGACTGGTGTCCATTTTTTCTAACTGCACAGCTTATGTTTGATTTTGATCACTTTCATACCCTACCCCCTAGCACAGTGCCTGGCATTTATAGATAATAAATATTCTCTTACGAGAATGAAAGGAATTAATTACCAACCAATGTGGTGAGTTGTGGTTTTAATGAACTTTAAGCAAAAATGAGGGTACTGTTAAAGATAATTATGATGCCAATGATAATGACAAATAAAAGGGTGAATGTACTATTGAATTCTAACAATGTTCCAAGTCTTTATAGCAATTGTTCCTTCATAACTCTGAGGAAGACAGTTATTATCCTCATTTCATCAGTGAGGGAAATGAATATAAAGAAAGTCAATGACTGTGATGTAGTTATATACTTATTTGGTTAGTAGAGAGGAGGTACAGCAGGATTCAAATGCACATTCGTCACTACTATGCAAAATTGTTTCATTTTATTTTGCTAAAAGATCTTTAGGTTTATGATCTGGAAGGAGCAAGATGTGTTCTGAAGATGTGTCTTCTTGTGTTCTGTAGAGTATGCTAAGTGATATTGTGACAACCCAAAATATCAACTGTCCCCATCATTTCATTGTGAGACTTCAGCTGTGTTCTAGCCAAGAGCAGGAAAACGTAGAACTGGAGGCCATGTGATTCTTTATTTTCATATTTAGGAGATTTCAGTGGGTTTTGGTGGGTTTTACCCACTCTCTTTGCAAAGCTCTCTTGCTGAATGTCCTTTGCTGCTATTCCATTTATAAGAATCTGTCACATTTCATTTATGCATTTGAAAACCCAGTGTTTATCACAGTGCAGAACAACCACATTATTATAAATACTTACTCAGACAAATTAAATGATTTAGTGTAGTATCTCTGAGAAGACTAATTTTCATGTGTGGAATCATGTTTATCATTACTCAAATTTAAAGACACAAAATAGCACATTTACACTGGTAACTATTCATAACATGTCCTTTCAACCTTGTTTAATATTACAAAGCAGCCTGAACCTCATCTCTTAGGGCGACACGCTAAAGGATGTATTTAAATATTAGGTTGTAGTGGGGTGAGCATCTGAGGCAAATGCATTACTAAATTGGCCCCTTCTGCCTCCTATATAAAGATGTTTGGATTGACAGATATTTCTTTAAGGGTTTGGCTATTTATCAAACAAGCCTACATATCAGGCATTTTCAAATACACAATATTGACCCATGAGGAAGGAAGTATTGGGGCTTTTTCTTTGCTTTTATGTCATGATTACTGAACTTTCCTGCAGCCTATTTTCCTTCATAGAATTTTCCTCTAGCCTCTTTAAAGAATGACCTCCTTGCTTCAGAGAAAATTTTTTGCTTATTACTGTCAAAAAAAAGAATTTTCCTAAAGCCAAAATTTTTAAAGCAAAAATTCCACTTTGGAAGGGTGGAAATCTAATCTTACACCCTAGAAATATAAGATTAATGGCAAAATTGTTTCAAGGAGAGAAAATGAAAAGCAAAATTACTAAGTCTGCTGAAGAACTAATCAAGTGTATTATACTCTTGATTCTAGAAAATTACAGCACACCCTTTAGAAAGGTTGACAAGATGTCCATGGCCTCTCTCAGTTTACTTTGCCTAAATGTGTGTTCTTTCTTCCCTGGAGTTCCAGAGGCACTGGTTTGTCCTATAGGTGGAGGCTACTCTGGCCTTCTGTTGTTCCTCTGGAAGAGCTCAGTGCCTTTCCAAATGACAGATGGTTCCCTCTGCTGGCTGAACTTAAATTCAGCCATCCACAATGAACCTACCCAGGAGGAATCACCATCAGTCTCACTAGTTATTAAAACATAGCTTTCAGTTTCATGTTTGAAAAACCAACCCTCTGTGACCAGTTTAACTGCACTCTTGAAGTGGTGAGGAATATTTTCCCTCTCTCCTTTACCACATTTCCTTCTTCCTAGTTCCTTCGCTCCCTCTCCCTGTCATATTTCTGTCTTCTCTCCCTTCTTCTTTTCTCCTTACCTCCTTTTATTTTGAGGAAAGTTTTAAAATACAGGCAACACAAAACGTAGCATAACAAGCATCTCTATTTCTAATATCAAAAAAATGAGCATCTATCCATACTTAGTCAGATTTGCTTTGAGTTTGTATTTTTGTAAAAGAAATTATTGATAAAAGCAACTTTCTTTTAACTGCCATGCTTTTATTTCACCCAAAGTTCTCCACCCAAAATTCTAGTCCTATAAAATTAGGGATGTATTTGACTAGTCTGTTGTTGATATTTTTACATACATGTATATGTATCCACAAACTATGTACTATTTTTATATATTAAATTTTCTTTTTTTTTACATGACATTATTTATGAGAATTACCTGTACTGATACCTGTGAAACCAACTGATTCACTTTAATAGCTATATAATATTCCATCATGGAAATATAGCCATTTCATTTACCCATTCCTTTGTCAGTGTGACTTTTGGGTCATTTCCAGGTTATGCTATACTTAAAAAGTAAACAAAAACCAAATAAACAAAAATCTTTCCCTTGTATGTATGTTTCCAGAGACAAGTGTATCTTCCAAGAAGATCTTGATGGCATGGGAGATGTATAGTATCTCCTGTTAAATATAACAAAATTGTTCACTAGAATGAAATACTAATTCATGATTAGGCCAGAAGTAAACTAAACATTATGCTATTCCCTCCCGCCCCCTGTCTTGGTCAACACTAAATTTTCACTCTGATATATACTATTTTGATAGAAGGAAAATAGAATTTTGTTATTTTAATTGCATTGTCTTCACATTTAATGGGGTTGAGCTTATTATGTGCGTTCCTTTGAGACCACCTTTTTTCATTTTGTTTGTTCATCATTTTTTTTGACTGCTGCATTTTTAAGCAAAGGGATGAGGCGAAATTTCATTCAGAGGGTAACATCTCAGGAAAGACCTGAATGAGATAAAGAAGACAGCAGCAAAGATACCTCTAGATGAAGAAAGTTCTAGGCATAGGAAAAATAAAATGCAAATGCAAAGGTCAGGGTTTTAACTTGCAGTACAGTGGGGAGCCTTGAGGCATTTCTGAGCAGAGATGGAAGAAGAGCTCTCTGGCTATTGGAGATTTAAATTGAAGAGGCACAACCACTTAGGAGAGTCCAACTAAAATCCTAGTGAGTAAATGTGCTAGTCACGTAGCACTGAGGCTAGGGAATGTGGTGGTCACTTGCTTCATATTTTAAAAGGAGACCCAAAAAGATCTTCATTGATCTGGAGGTAGAGAGATATGGCTCCATTTTTGATAATATGTAGAATTAAATTAAAAACTATAACAATTTATTTACTGATCATCTGAAGAAATGATCTAAAGTGCCAGACCAGCTAAAGATAATGGTAACCTATTTAACCATTTATAATTATGATTTTATTTCAAAGAAGTTCATTTGAAGGAAAGGCACAGGTAGAGATGAAAGCAGAGAGTAGCCAACCATCTGGAGCATTAGTACATTGTCATTGTGTGATGTCTGGGCAGTGAGCTCTCTCTGGAAAGTTTTGGAATTTCCTTACAAGTAAGGTGGTTCATGACTCTCACCTTGGGTAAAGACTAAATATGTACCAGGAACTATGTTCTTGGTGCTTTATCCTCATTTAATAAAAGTCCTCTTCATAAACATGCTCTTCAGATATTATTATACCCCTTTGATAGAGGTGGAAAGTGACCTCAATAAACCTGTGTACCCGTATAAGACAGAGATGGTAAATGCATTACTAAGATTCAAACAGATCAATCAGACCAAAAATCTATGTTCCTTCCATTGTTAGATTTTTCTCACATTTTTATAGACACCAGACTTTCAAGGGGAAAGTAAAAAAACTGGCCTACAAATTGCTCTTCAGACCAATGATTTGGTATAGAAAACCACAAAACCAAAAAAGTACTCCTACCAAGACTGGCCAGTTCCTTAGGTGGGTCAGTTAATGCTGCCAGAACAGCCCTGGGCAAGAAATGAGAAGAGGGAGTGCCAAGGCACATTCTGCCACTTCCTTCATGTGATCTTGTATCATTCACTTGAAACACTTTGAATGACAGTTTCTCTTGTGCAACATAATGACAATACCTACACAAATCATATGTGTGATTTTATTCTGTCCTTTTGACAATATCAATGCAGCCAAGCTAGCTCAAGATTACTGGTGAGTGTTCCTAATGAAGATGTACATAAAAGTCATCTACGTTACTGTCAAAATGATTATCTGAATTTTTGTTCATTTGTAGATATCCCAAGTCCTCCTGCCTGCTTAGACTGTCTAGAAAATCTTGCATTCTGCTGTTGAGTACCCTGAGGAGGTAGCAGTAATCTGAAAGGTAGTGTTAATTTAATTTTAATTTTTTTCAGAGTTTGGTGTAATTTGCCCTGCTGTTTATCATGAGCAGGTCATAAAGTCATCATTGTCATAGTAGTAACATTCCTATGTATATGTAAAACAGAACTTTTAAAATGGTAAGATTTCAGTGTTTGATTCCCTTGGAGAATTTATCCTTTCTCAACTTCTATTTGTAGCTGCCATTTTCGTATTGGGGTATAAATATTATGTCAGTTAAATAAAGAAGTGATGACTTCACTTTTTGAAGAAAGCATTAACTTTCCTTTTCATGAAGTGCAGCTTAACTGTTACCTGATTGACATGCTATTATATTATTCTCCCCCCACCAGATAGTTACACATATTTAATAATTTTTATGTAAAAAAAGTAAGGTTAAACAGTCACAATATCAAGTTGTTATGCTTTTCATGGCTTTGAGAATGATCATGGAATTGAAAAGAAATTAGTAGCTGTAGGAGGATGCTTCTGATATGAAACATATCTCCTATACTAAAATGGAATGGGATTATTCTTCATTAGAAGATGTCCTAGTAGTATGTGTTGGGACAGTGAAGGGTATAATTTATTTAAAAACAAAACAAACAAACAAAAAATCCTTGAAGGGAGGACAAAATAATGACTTGTCTTTTTTGTCTTTGAATGGTTTTACCATTGAGTTCAATATGCTTTAAAAAAAAAAAAAAACAGCAACAAAGGAAGCAAAATGTGCAACTTGGTAAAACTTCTCAGCATGTTGTCAGTGGACTGTGTCCATTTAACCCTTTCCTAGAACTCATGTATACATTCCTCTCCCTTTCTACTGTCCCTTCTCATCTTTACTCCCTTAATCATCTCTTCCATTGTGAAGTCTCAGTAAATAATTTAGTATGTGAAATAAGTATAAATATCCAATAGTCCCAGGTGCCACAACACCTGGGATACTCTGCTCCATTTCTTGCCTCTAATCAAGACCCAATCTCCACTTTATATTTTCGGTCTACTTACCTTGGACCACTTATTCCTTTTCCTTTTATTCCACATCTTTTGAAACCTATCAGTTTACATTATGTTTACAAAGTTGGGCAGGATTTTCCCTAAAATTTATGACTATGAGACATTATTGCATCTTCTAAAAGTGTTTATCAAATGCAGATTTTGGTGGGTTGAGGCATGCAACTTTACTTCTTAATGTGTCTGGTTATCTCTCTGTTGAATCACCTGCTTATTTAGAGAGTATACCTGGAAAACAGAGAGGTTTCAGAACAGTAAATGAAATGAGGTGAAATAGAGCACTATTATTTTGTACCTTTTTAGTCTGAGTTTTTGCACAGAATTAGTCGATCCGTGTATTCCTGTCCTGGTTAGTATTTTTAAGTCCAGAAGAAAATCTCTTTAAATATGAAAGCTGTAGATACAAAGTATGTAGCTGAAAGAGAGGCATTTTATTTGATAATATTAGTAATTAATTGATAGAATTATAGACTATAAGTTTTAGAAGCTCTACTCCTTGCTTAGAAAGTCTTTTCTCTCGTAATAGTGAATTGCATGCGCTTCATGACTTCAAATACAGATTCTTTGTTATTTTCTTTTTGAAAGGACTGACTGACTCAGATTTCTGCTATTTGCTGTATGATGCCAGTTAACTCAGTAACTTCTCTAAACTCTAGTTTCTTCTTCCATAAAATGAGACTACTTTAGGAGCAACCTCATAGAATGATTATGAAGGAATAATTGGTAATTTATATAAAATAATTAGCAAGGTTTCTGATATACAGAAACTACACCTCTGGTGTAGGCCAGAGGTGTGGGGGGTGAGAGGATTCACCAGAGACAGAGGCTGGAGCAGAACAGGCAGATCTACTGAGATACACTGCTGAGGGGAGCAGAAGGGGAGACAGGAAAGGTCTTCTGTGCCATGTGGGTTAGCTCCCTGGCTGGGATCAAAATCATGCTGCAGTGGCTGCAATAGTTTGATACCACTGAGACTTTAACCCCTGTGCCTTCTGTAGGGAGACCCTACAGAAACTCTTAAGAAACTAACTATAAGTATTATTATTATTATTATTATTATTATTATAAGGAAATGTGTACTTAACAACTCTATTTTCAAATGATATTTCTCTTAGGATATTACCTATTAAAGTTTTCAATGCAGCAGTATATAGAAATATCTGCAACCAAAAAATATAAATAAATTAATTAATTAACAAAAAGCCATGTAGATAATATTTGGTAGTCATCATGCTGTTACAAGCCTCATTGCTTTGAGATTAAATGCTGACATTCTATGAGTAAGATCTGATTGATGTTTTATCATTTTACCATTTAATTTTGTTGTACTTTCATTCCAAATCATGCCATTTATGTCAAGATGATCAAGGATGCTCTGTCTGACTTAATGTTTCCACTTAAAACCAAAACCAAATACCACCAGATGAGGTGTTAAGTGGAAGTTAAGTATTTTGAAGACGGGGACTAGGAAATGCAAAGTAATGTTTCCTAAATATTTTCTCTTTTTTTCTACTTCTACTTTGACTATATAAGCTCTACTGAGTCTGAGGATCTCACGGATACACAAACAATTACAAAGTATGGGGGAAAGTTTACCTAAATGTATTAGAAAGTGAAATAAGCATCTAGAGTTTGGTGGGGGACTGAAATTCAAAACTTGGAAACAGGGATGAGTGCAGAGAGAGTTCCCCATTTTTAGACTGAGGGAATGCTGAAATTAATGTTACTTGAGGCAGCTAAACCAATAAAAAACCCATAGACTGGGTCTACCTGGTGGTCTAGGGGTGAAGTCTCAGTGCTACCACTGTGATGGCCCACTTCAAAGGCCGGAGTTCAATCCCTGGCCAGGGAGCTAATCCACAAATGGCGCAGCAGACCTCTCCTGTTTCACCAGCTGCTCCCCTTAGCAGTGTATTTCAGTAGATCTGCCTATTCTGTTCCTCACTCTGTCTCTGGTGAATCCTCCCTGCCCACACCTCTGGCCTGTACCCCAATTCTTTCACGCAAAAATAAATAAATAAATAATTTTTTTTTTAAAGAAAACTTACAGACTTTTTGATTCAAATAGCCAAAGAACAAAGTTCAGGGCAACCACAGCCACTGGCAATGAAACTAGAATCCTGGAAATGAGAAACAGAGAAAACCTCCCAATACTTTGTATAACAACTGCCCAAATGTTTGACTAACCCTGAAGTACATATGTATGGAGCAGACACATGAACTGAACTGATATTTGAACTCCTGCTGAAAGGATAGTTTTAAATTTGAGTGTAACCAAGTTAATTGCCTACTAAAATACATGAATGGATGTTCTTCAAAAAACTAATAGATTTCAGTCTTTAGGCTATTATATTCACATTCATATATTCACATGATACAACTCAAAATTAAACATTAAGAACCAAGAAAGTATGGCCCATCCTGAATAGAAAATATAATCTTCTGAGACTAATTCCAAGATGACATGGTTATGGCATTTAACAAATATTTTAAAGCAGCTATTATAACTATATTCATTGATGGGAAGAAAAGTAGACTCACAATGAATAAAATTATAGTAAATAAAAACTAGGCTTATAAATTGTGAATAACAGAGGAAAGTGTTAGTGAACTTGAAGATAGAGTAACAGAATTTTTCCTTTTGAAAAACAGAAAATAATACAGATTCTAAAAAATTAACAGAAAAAATATGAACAGAATTTTAAGAACCTATATAACAAAAATAAAAATGCCTAACATACATGTAATTGTAGTCTAAGAATGAGAGAAGAATGAAAATGGGACAAAAAATATTTGAAGAAATAATGGCTCAAACTGTTCAAATTTGGTGAAATATATAAATTTACAGATCAAGAAACTCAACAAGTCCCCTATGGAGTAACTTTGAAGAAAACCATGCGTAGGCACATCATATCCAAACTGTTGGACACCAACAATAAAGAGAAAATCTTGATAGGAACCAGAGAAAATGGCACATTACCTTCCAGGGAACAATGCTTTAAATGAACACCGACTTCTCATCAGAAACTATAAAGGCCCATAAAGTGAAATGATATATTTTAAATACAGAGGGGAAAAAACCCTGTTAATCCAGAAATCAACGTACAGTGAAAATATCTTTTGAGAATGAAGGCAAATTAAAGACTATTCAGATAAAAGTAGGCTAAGAGAATTCATTGTGAGCAGATCTGTAATATATATACTCAGGGAAGTAGGTCAACACCCAAAGTGAGATAACACCTGATGTAATCTAAAATCTTCAAGAAGGAATGAATACTATTGAAGATTATAAATATAAAAGATTATTATTTCATCTAGTATCTTTAAAACAAAAATTTTACATTACCTTGTTATGTTTATTATGCACTGTGTGCAGATGTCGTGCATATGATAATTGTAACAGAGAGAATGGAGGGTGTGCTAAATTGATTTATAAAGTTGCAAGATTTTCTAATTTTATAGGAGTGGCATGAAATTAATTCTAAGTGTTCTGTGTAAGAGTAGGGATGTATATTGAATCCTTATAACAGCCACTAAAATTTCAATAGATCAATTGAAATAGGATCCCAAATATGAAGAAACAAAGAGGTAAGACAGAAAACAATTAATAAAATTATAACTTTAATGCATCCATGTCAGTAGTTCTATTAAATGTTAATGGACTATATATTTTGATCGAAAGGCAGAGTTATCAGAATGGATTAAAAAAAAAGGAACAACTATATTCTGTTGAAGTGATCTTTAAATATAAAGGTATAGATAAGTTTAAAGCTAATTGATAGGAACAATACGGCAACAGAATAAGAAGTGTAGACTGCTCTATCAATATCAGGCAAATTAAGCTTTAAGACGGAGAAATATCAGAGATAAAGAAGGACATTTCATAATAATAAAAGGGTCATGACATTCTGAACACATAAGAATTATAAATGAATGTAAGCCTGACAAAATTTCAAATGAGATCACTTTCAAGTATTTTATTTTTGGGGT